GGACATCTAAAAATAACAAGTAATGTAGATTATGACCAGTGATATTGTGTCCGACTACACTGCATTTTCAAATTCGACCCTCACCATTAGGATCTCGGAAACTGAGGCAAAGTTGCGTATTCAGGAAATCAACAAAATGCTTAATTCAAGGTACTTCCGGAGAGATACGAAAAACAAAACGAATTTTCCCAAAATAGTTTTAATTTTTTCCTGACTTTATTTGTAGTGGGATTTCAAAATAACTTGCACATTAACATTGACATTTTTTTCGTCTCTTGTTCTCCAGCATTAACTTTTTTTTTAATTCATTTATTATTTAAAAAAGCAGAATTTCCTACGCAGGCCTTGAAATTATCAGATTGTCATTTGTTTCGCATACCAGATTTATCCCAAAATCACTTTATGCGATATGGGATTTCAAAATAAATTGCTTGTTGTGATTGTTACTTATTCTCCTATAAAAGATGGCGTAATTAAATATTCAATTCGATATTTTTTTATTTCAACTTCCATCACCAACTTTGTTTTTTCATATGGACTCTATACTCAGTGATAACAATACCTACTCGTAACAATTTATTCCGAGAACCTACCTTTTTTAACTACCACTCGCTAGACTCCAGCACTGAAAGTTTAACCGCCTAAAAGTTACGACTGTTTTTTACAATCTTTAGGAACGTACTACTGTACCCTGCAATGCTTTCAGCTTTCAGGGTGACTGAAATATTTAAGATGGCGTAACTAACGTCCAGAGAGCACGCTTGAGCTCAATGTTGCCGAAAAGGGTTGATAGAAAAAAGCAGTGCTGCGCGATTGTAACAAAATTAATGATTTTTAAAATAGCCCCGTCTTTCTAGAATAACCCTGTTCTACGGTAGCCCGAAATTCGATAATGCCAGTGGTGGAGTAAACGGGAAAACGAGAACTGGTCCGAACGTGGTAGGGTAAATATGCCAGTGGTCAGACAATTTAGACAAAAGTAGAATACAAAGTGTCATTGCGAATTTTGTGTTCAAGATAACAAAACTAATACATTGCTTATAGATATTCCTGTAATTTCATAAAAAAATAATAATAAAAAAGGTGCTATTTTGCCAGTACTCGGACAAAAGGTGCTACTAGTCGGCCAGCTAATTTCCAGTTGTCGGACAGCATTTGATTGGTAAATTTAAGACAGTCTTTAAAAATGTATGATAGTAGAATAGAAATGTCAAATTAATGTCATTAAGACTTTGAGGAAAAGAAATTAAACACACTCATACTGAATTCATTTAATATATGTAGATATGCTTATCAAAAATACATTCAAACTAGATAAAAATGAACAAGAAACTAATTTTTTCCTTTAATCTAGTCCTGCACTGTCGACTTTGAGCTACCATACTCTTTACATACTTCAAGCAAATTTCCAACAGCTTCGACCGCGTTCACTATACAGCCTACTTCAAATTTTTACACGAAGGCGGGTTTTAGAAGGTCTCACGCCACTAACCCTGCATGGTGTAGAGATCCCCTATACCAGCGAGAAAAATATTTTGGAGTCATCTTTGACCAAAGATTAACCTGGAACTCTCACATCATCGGAGCAGCACAGGAAGCTACAACAGCCCTAGGAAGGTGTAGACAGATGTGCGGTAGACATTGGGGGTCAAACTCAAAAATGATCATGTGGTTATACACGAGGGTGGTGAGACCCATGATATCCTATGGATCAGTGACATGGCGGACAAAGACTAAACGGTCGGGAACGGTGAGGAGTGTTCTCGTTGCGCCACAGAAAAGCTCTGGTCCTGTGAGGCGATTAGCCGCACCCTGTCGGGCTAGCTCATCCGCCTTTTCATTTACTTTGTGCCCTTCATGTGCTGGTGCCCAGAGCAGAGTTACCTTGTTTCAGTTTCCCAACTCTTTGAGAGTGTTCACGCAGTCCCATGCTAGTTTAGACGATATTTGCGATGAACTTAATGCCTTTATATGGCTGCCTGGCTACCGAGCAGATGGCGATCGACTGATTTGCAGTATCGTTCCTTATTAGCTCTTTTGCACAAACTTGTATGGCCGTTACTACAGCCTGAAATATTGTTGCAATATTGCCTAGACTTCTAGAGATCTCAGTTTTTGGCCTTGTCCCATAGATCCCGGCTCCAGCTCCGTCTTCAGTTTTCGAGCCGTCTGTGTACCAGTAGCTCTTGGCATTTATAAGAGGTCCTTTCTCCCACGCCTTCCTTTCTGGCACTGTGCTACCGACTGATCGGTGATTGTCCTTGAGTTAGTCTATGAGCCATGGAAAGGGCATTACCGTGAATAAATATGTGCAAGGGTGGTACTGTGGTACGTCGAGAAGGACCTCCAGCGCTGCAGTGAGAGCGGTATGAATGGCCCCCGTGGCGCTCAAGCTAGCTAGCCTCTGTACGCCACTTAATAGCCTCACCGTTCTCGACCGTGTAGTCTTTGTCCGCCATGTCACTGATCCATAGGTTATCATGGGTCTCACCACCCTCGTATATAACCACATGATCATTTTTGAGTTTGACCCCCAATTTCTCCAGCACATCTGTCTACACCTTCCTACGGCTGTTGTAGCTTCCTGTGCTGCTCTGTTGATGTGAGAGTTTCACGTCAATCTTTGGTCAAAGATGACTCCAAAATATTGTGCCTCGCTGGCATAGGGGATCTCTACACCATGCGGAGTTAGTGGCGTGAGGCCTTCTAAAACCCGCTTTCGTGTAAAAGTTTGAAGTAGCCTGTATAGTGAAGGTAGTCGAAGCTGTGAGAAATGTTGGGAAATTGCTTGAAATATGTAAACAGTATGGTAGCTCAAAGTCGACAGTGTAGGACTAGATTAAAGGGAAAAATTAGTATCTTGTCCATTTTCAATATCTATATTAAATGGATTCAGTATGAGTGTGTTTAATTTCTTTTCCTCAAAGTCTTAATGTCATTAATTTGCCATTTCTATTCTACTATCATGAATTTTTAAATACAGTTATGTCTAAAATTTACCAATCAAATGCTGTCCGACAATTGGAAATTAGCTGGCCGACTAGTAGCACGTTCTGACCGAGTACTGGCAAAATAGCACATTTTTTATTATTATTTTTTTTTATAAAATTACAGAAATATCTATAAGCAATGTATTACTTTTATCTTGAATACAAAATTCGTAATTACACTTTGTATTCTACTTTTGTCTAAATTGTCGGACCACTGGCATATTCTCTGACCAGTTCTCGTTTTCCCGTTTACTCCACCACTGGCATTATCGAATTTCGGGCTACCGTAGAACGGGGTTATTCTAGAAACACGGGGCTATTTTTAAAATAATTAATTTTGTTACAATCGCGCAGCACTGCTTTTTTCCATGAACTCTTTTCGGCAACATTGTGCTCAAGCGTGCTCTCTGGACGTCAGTTACGCCATCTGAAATATTTCAGTCACCCTGAAAGCTGTTCCTAAAGATTGTAAAAAAACAGTCGTAACTTTTAGGCGGTTAAACTTTCAGTGCAGGAGTCTAGTGAGTGGTAGTTAAAAAAGGTAGGTTCTCAGAATAAATTGATACGAGTATAGTTATCACTGAGTGATAAATAGGTAGATATTGAATGTATACATCAAAATTTATTAAGAATTTTCTAACAATTTTGGATGATTTTTTTTAATGTTTTCCACAATAGCCCCGCTGTTCCAAAGTAACCCCACTTAAGAAATTACAATTACTTTTTTTAGAAAAAAATAGTGAGATACTACAAGAGAAAGTTTATTAGTCATAGTCGAAACGGGAAAAATTATAACCCCTATAAAACATATACAGATGAAGCGTTAAATGAAGCGATAAGAGAAGTACAAGCTAAAATTTTAACATTGGATGCTGCCTCCACAAAATATAAGTCCCCAGATCAACATTAGCCTTAAGAGCAAACAGTCAGAAAACATTCCTTAAACCCGGCAGACCTTTTATCTACGGAAGAAGAGAATATATAGATTGATCATTTAAATCTTGTGGTCTCCTGGGGGTTTCCCTCTGATCTTTTTGACTGTTAGGCTGTTAGTAAAATCATATTTTGATAAAAAGGGTATCACTGTACACAGACTAAGCAATAATCGGCCAGGAAAAGACTGGGCTACCAATTTTATTAAAAGACACAAACATGCAATTTCCAACCATCTTTCTGCAAACATATCTACCAAAAGAGCAATGATGAGTAGAAAAAAATTAGACGAATTTTTCGATAATGCCAGAGAACATTTTACGAATGTAGATCCATCATTGATTATAAATTTTGATGAAACCAATTTAACTGGTGACCCTGGTGCTAAAAAGTTTATTTTTAAGAGAGGGACAAAAAGCTCTGCCGAAGGAAAAGTGTATCGTTGATTTAACCACTTAGAAAGAAAAACTATCACTACAACCAACTCTTTTGAAGACTGAGTATTAGTGGAATACCAAATTAGTAACAAACTCGCCACTTTATTGGAAAAGTTATTTCAGTATCTCCTGATCTGTTATATTGTGTTGATTTTTTTTTAAAATCCAACAAAAGTGACCGCTTTCTAATGTCACCTAAGCAAGACAGAGGACGTAGAATTATACATTTTCAGACGATTTGTCTGATTTTAATTGTTAGTTTTTAGTATTCATGATGACCTGATGTGCCAAAGTTTAATAAGTTTGTAGTCATTTGCAAAAATGTTAAGTTAAAAATAAGTATTTTTTGGTTCCAAGGATTTTTTCGTTTTGTTTTTTAGAAAATGTCATTTTTTTATTTTGCTAAATAAAACTTAGGAGAGCTATTATTTTTTTATTTACTGCTGCTCATATATAATATTTGAGCATTATATAGGCAATTTGCGCACACTACTGTACTGGTAGACTGTAATTTCATGATTTTTGAATCTGAATCCGAAGCTAACTTCAGGAGATGTCAATCTAGATAAAAAAGGTTCTGTAAAAAGGTCTCTGATATGTGGGCCTGTCTTCATGTCGTATTGCCTGTGGTGCGTGGTGCCTGTGGTTTTGCTTTCCAGTTTACGAGAAGGTTTATGGTTGCCGTGGTTCTGCCATCTATCTACTATCTAGTGCTGAATGAAGCAAGTTTAACAGAGCTGGTGCGCTTCTTGTCTAGTTTCTCCAATCTTCAAACACCTAATTAGCATTGGCCAAGCAAATAAAACTATTCGCGGGGTGCGCGATGACAGCGTAGGACAGAAATATTTTTGCTTGACACAATATAAATATAAAGGTATATCGATAGAAAAAACAGGGACTTGATCTAACACTCCGTAATTTGAGAAATGATTAGATAAATATTTGCAGCATTGCTAGGCCTTAATTGACTCCACATGACAGAGATCTTACCATAAAGACCACGCCTATATATCACTAGCAGGTCAACTATAACTATGTTTACATTTTTGTCCACCACGTGCCAGGCGATCGATTTGGTCCCCCACTAAGCACTCTTCTCGAATATAGTAATACACATTCCACATCAGCTTGTATCAAGGAAATATGACGACTGTTTTATGTTCCTCATTTCTGACAGCGGCTCACTAAATCACCGTGATTCCATAACTCCCATAAGTTCTTTGCTCCATCTCTAGATGTCAACACCCTTCATGCATCGATTTCTAGTGCGCGTGCGCGGTGATCTTAGCTACGACTTACTGTTTCAACAATTCCCCACAATCATGTATCTCAGAGAGTGATAAAATGTGTGACGTATAGTTGTGATGATTTCATATGGAGGTATATAAAGGGCAACCAGTTGAAAATCGGCAAGATCTTTGAACAATTGAATTTGTAAGGGAGGAAATAACATCTAGGCGAGAGCGGTAGAACATCTTGCACCGGGAGCCCGACCATCATGGCTGAGACGGAGCAACAACAACAGCAGCAACAGCCGACGCCAGAGCAGCCAACGAAACAGCTCATTAAGCAGAAAGAAGTTATTGGTAAGAAACCTCAGAAATAAAAGTATAACCGGAACGTCAAGCGGCGTGCTTTATTTGTCATCATGGTCGCCTCCATATTCATCAGCGAGCACATGGCGACAAAATAGCTATTTTGCCATTTTTTCCTCCTAAGGTTGCTTCTTATCGCATAATTTTTCCAGGATGTACTTCTTAACATAACCCTTCCTCTAATTTCTATATTTTTTATTACTGGAAGTAATGCACGCGGCGTGCATAGTTGAATGAACCATTTTATTGGATTTAAAAAGTTTATCGATTGGTTAGTCTAGTTTCGGTAGCTGCAACTACCAATAGCATACCTGCATCCTCAATTTAAAAAGGAAGTGATACTTTTTTAAACGTTCTATATAATCTGGATGCCATGCAAATTGGCTATTTCCTGTTGAACAGTACTAAGTCCTTTGAGTTCTTCGACATTCTAGAATGTTTTTAATATTCGGAAGTGTGTTGATTTTTTTGTTTTCTTGAGTTGAGCAGATGCTTCAGTCACTACAAGATGGTGATGCTAATTAAACCCTATATATTTTGTGTAAAAACATAAATCAAAGATGTTTTCGTAACCATGTAAGAGAAAGCATTTTTTTTTGTAAAACTAGTGCAAGTTTTGTATTAAACACACTGCCCTAGTTCATCCTAAAATTGCCTTCAAAAGAAGAAAGCATTATCCTTTTTTATTTCATTTGGTTGACCTTTCCATTGCTGTTATGGTATATCTTAAAAAGAAAAATGAGTAAAGTGGCTATAAAAAAGCAAAGCTACAAGTAAAAGCTGTAACATGTGACAATGTTGACGATCAGCAGCACTAGCATGAACCAAGTGCAGAGTTATGAATCTGTCTAGAGAGGCCCAGTGTGGTGGTCACCAGTCTATGACCTGGCAACTAGCTGGTCGACTGTTAGTATCTTCTGTTGAAGAATCAACAAGATAGCAGCACATTTTGAAATATTTTTTATCTATTAATGTACAGAAATACAAGACTGTTATTTGTCAAAAGCTAGCATCCTATATGATCACCTCCAAAAACATTAGCCTAGTTATCTAGAACACAAAGTACTTTTTTAAAAAACACTATTGAGTACTCAGCTGGGTACTTAGTGAACTGATAAACTCTGGATTATTAGGCAAAAGTGTACACAAAGTGTAATTACAAACTAACAACTAATGCTTTTGGAGGTGATAGACAGACAACAAATACATCGGTTATAGATATTCCTGTCATTTTACAAAAAAATATTAATCAGTACTCTAACTGAAGGTGCTACTAGTCAGCCAGCTAGTTTGCAATTGTGCAATTGTCCATCATTTGATCAGCCAGTTTTACACAGAACCATATTTAAAAATTTGTGATAGTAGTATAGAAATATCAAATCAGCTGTCGTTAAGACTTTGAGGAATAGAAATCAAACACACTCATACTGAGTCCATTTAATAAAGATTTTTTTGTCAAAAATACATACAAAGTAGGTAAAAATTAATAAGAAACTAATTTCGTTCTTTAATCCTGTCCTGCACTGTTGACTTTGAACTACCATACTGTTTACATATTTCAAATTTCCCAACATTTCTCACAGCTTTGACTGTCTCCTTTAGCCTGCCGTCAAGATATATAAAGAAATTATTTTTGGTATCCATTCCCAAATGAAGTCGTAATGCATAGTTTTATTTCACAGTAGAGTGAAAAAAGATGGGAAAATCAAGTGGCCGGTTATTGGGATGCTATGAAAACTCTTTCATTTCAGTAGTTGGACACAATACCGCTGACCGTAATCCACATTATTTATCTTTTGCTGTCCTTCGACTGGCTGGGGCTTCATTCGTATTTTGGTTTGGTTAATTCCAATAGAAAAGTTTCGATAGTTTCTATGTTTAAAGGGAAAGACTTAGCTTGTTAACGACCACACCATTGCAATAGTCGACTATTGTATTTTAATTAGTATGATGATCCAGTCAGAGACGTCAAAATATTAAGATTAATTTATTTTGTAAACTTTGAATGTCTTCTGCATATATAACAAGAGGAGTATTTATACAGGGTGACTTCGAAGTTGAGTCATTTATTTTAACAGTGAGTAGATCTGATCAAAAGAAATGTTTTTTTCCTTTAACATTTTTCTGGTAAAATTAAAGTAACGAAGTTATAGCCCTTTAGAAGTTTGAGTACCGCGCTGTCTCAATAATAATATTATGTGTTTGGCAACAACGGATATCGGTTCATCGCATCGGAAACAAAAAAGCGAAAGAATTTGAAACGTTTATCACCTTGTTTTTCGTCAGTCGGTAACGCGTGGGTGAATAGTGATGTTTGTTGCGTGACTTAAACGAAATGAAAAATGGCACATGTTTACGAAAATGCTGAACTTGTGGACATGATTCTTATTTACGGGGGGGCAGTCTTTACAAAATGCTGCCGGATCACGGATTTATGCGAATCGGTTTCCCAATCGAGTGCAACCAACCCCTCGTGCCTTTGTTAATGTAGTACAAAGGGCTCGTGAATCAGGTGACTTAAGACCTCACAGGTGAGAGCATGCCGGTGCTCCAAGACCGCACGATCAAATACAGGTCCGCACTGAAATACTTGTCGGGAGGATACTTTATTAAACAAGGTAATATTTTTTTTTTATTTTTACACACATATTTTGGTTTATCTTCCTTCTACAATCATTATCTGAAAATTAATGACTCAACTTCAAAAACTTTGACAGCTGATGATTCTACTTGCCTTTAAAGTTTATGTCACTCACTACTCAAATGACAAAAATTTGAAGCGCTAATACTGTTGTCAATATGACAACTGATGATGTGAAATATTTGTGAACTGTCACTTATTTATTAGTTGATAAATCTGGTACCAATTACCAGCAAGAATAGAATTTCAAATATTCAAGTTAGTACCAATAATATAACATTTGTCTGACTGCTGGTAGTGGCACATTCACTACTGTTGGTGATATTAAGATTATCTTTGTGTTTTGAAAGACCCTTTATGCTCATAAGTTATTTACTTTTCCATGAAACTATTGCATGTCAAAGAACTGCTGTGCAGCTTAGGCAATTTTTACCTGACTGCCTCAAGAAGATTGTTTTTCGCGCGTGGGTGTGTATGTAGATAAAAATTTCATTTCATAGGCTGCAGGCCAAATAACTTAATGGATTTTGCTATATGATGTTGGATTCGTCTTGGCAGTGTGGGATGGCTATATTATAATATATAGGCATAGGTTTTTAATATTGAATTAGGATTGAAACCATACTGGAACTTTCATATTTTATATATTTCTTTCAATTACAAGAAAAGTATGTTTGTAAGACAAGGTACAACCTATATAAATATTTGATGATAGTAGACAATGCGAGACCTCACTTTCAAAAGACTACCTAAAAGAATTACTACCGTGTCATGGCCATCACAAACACTCAATTCAAATCCTGTAGGTTTTTGAGCTGCCCTTCATACAAGGATTCAACTGCTCGCTGTCGTGGTGCGAATATTTCTAGTTGGGGAAGGACAAAATTATACATAAATACATTTGGGTAAAGGTTTTCTTTGCAAACGCGAAATACCCGTTATTTACGTTACTTTTCGACTTTTCCTGCATTTTGTTTACATTGTTTCATAGTTTTTGCTGTTTTTCGAGTGCTTATGTGGAAGATAGAGTAAATAAAAATTGCAAAAAAAACAGTACTATGAGGTTTCAGTTTTTATGGAAAGACATGTAGTAGTAACACCTTGTATATGCTTACTGGAGAAGGCAAATGTATACTGTAACCGTGGTTATTTCTTTTATGGTGCATTAATGTCTTGGGGACACATCAGGAGACCTTGATTTATACAAGTTGTGTCTCATACCGAGTAATTTAATATTCGGCGAAACCGGGTCCTGTGTAGAATTTGGCGAGTATAACGAGTACCGGGTACAAACCGAGTACTCGGTGCATCCCTAATATATAATTACAGTTGAGATTTCATTTTTGTCTAAGCTGTCCGACTACTGTCTGAGTCACCCTACCTAAGACATCATTTTAAACATAAAATGTAAAATTAATGAATGGCCATATAATGTGCTAGTTTCGAAGGATTTACTAAATGCATATGTATATACAGGGTGTCCCGCGAGGTAAGGGACAACATTTTTCTACGTGTTCCTCAGGTCAATTCGAGTGGAAAAAGTCGTATGAACATGGGTCCGCAAATGCTTCCTTATCGAGATGATTTTTTTATTTTTAGGGTGCTAAAATATTAATCAATTTCCATTTTTTTCCTAAAACTTCAACACCCCGGTATTTTGTAAGGCAACATTTTTGGACCATAGTTTATACAGCACACACCCCTAAATATTCGCATATCATTAAGGAACACCCTATATATACAGTGCTTTCCCTTAATGTCCTCCTCCCCTTTGATTTTTTGAACGGATCCATTCAAAAAATTACAACTATTGAAATTGATGCGTGGATACCATATTTTAGAGTAAAATTGACAGATGAAAATGTCAAGATGGCCGCTGGGCGCCATCTTGGAAAAAAATATATGAAAACGGGGGTCTTGTGGTACATCATTTTGAAGCTCCTGACGAGTCCTTTATAACCCTAGAATATAAAGTCAATACCTTTACCTACTACAAAATGGTGGTACATTTAATAATTACTTGAACACAAACTCACTAACATGCATATCTCTACAAACAATTGTAATTCCCTGCCGTACCCACAGCAACAGCGATAAAAACTTTTTTAGTAATTTTTTGTTGAATATCAGTACGAAGACAAACATCATTGTACAGTTAAAATATTCTTATTTAGTTTTCGGTTTTAGTGCTAGATACTGTTTGAACTATTTTTAAAATGGTCAATTCTCGTCCATTGGAAGAAAAAATCGAAGCGATTTTTATTTATGGTGCGACGCCTAACTTTCTCGAGACCGAAAGGATTTTTAATGATCGTTTCCCGAATCGTCCTATCTGTAGAAAATATTTAAGGGAACTTGTATCTAAATTTACAGCTACTGGTAGTGTAAACAACAAAAAGCCCCCAGGTCATCCGACCCTCCCGGAAGAAAAGCAAGTTCACATAATTGGTGAGATCATAGTAAATCCCCAACAGTCTACTTCCTCCATCGCGAATGTATGTGAGGTTTGTCCTTCTACTGTATGGAGACCTTTGAAAAAGAATGAGTATCACCCATACAAAATTCAAATAGTACATCAGCTAACTGAAGATAACCCTGATCGAAGAACGGAATTCTGCGAGACTGACGGAAACCATTGCACGGCATCCTACCTATATCCAAAAGATTTGATTTAATGATGAATGTACATTTTTTCTCAATGGTAATGTGCATAGACAAAATTGTCATTATTGGAGTGACACCAATCCTCACGTCTTCCGAAAAACTCATACTCAATATCCTCAAAAAAATTAACGTTTTTGCTGGGATATTAGGAAATCATATTGTGGGGCCTCTATTCATCGAACTAACTTTAACCGGGGAACTGTATTTGGATATGCTGGAAAATACGATTGACCCTCTAATCACCGAAATCGTCGAAGCGAATTCGATACTGATATTGTATTCCAGCAAGCTGGTGCTCCACCACACTACCGGGTGCGCCATCTCTTATGTCGGTATTAAACATGAAATAACTTTGAAAATGAAAAACTGATTTCTATATCTCGGGTATTTTTATTAAATATGGTTCTTTACAATTTATTGGGACTAGTTTTTAAACACAATATCTATCAAGTGGCCACCTTTATTGACCAAAACAAAATGTGCCCGTTTTGCTGTAATTTCCATTACTTTTTCGAGCCCATCGGCCATCTTGAAATTTTCATCTGTCAATTTTACTCTAAAATGTAGTATCCACGCATCAATTTCATTACCTCAAGTTTTAATTTTTTTAATTTATCCGTTCAAAAAAGGGGAGGGGGAAATTAAAGGAAAGCACTATATATATATATATATATATCTATATATATAGATATATATACACAATTAATTGTTAATTGGGAAATTGGCAAGTCTTTTAGGCTTAAGCTCTTTTGACCATAAAATCAAGCTTTCTATGGAGCCTTCATCAGGATTCTGAAAACACAATTGTGATGCTAGCAAAGAAATCATTCATGAATATTTGGATATGCGAAAGCTCTGTGCGAAATGGGTGCCGCGCAATCTCACATTTGACCAAAAGCAACAACGCATCGACGACTCTGAGGCCTGTTTGGAGGTGATTTTGCGCAATAAAACCGATTTTTTTCGCCGATACGTCACCATGGATGAAACATGGCTCCACCACTACACACCGGAGTCAAATCGCCAGTCGGCCGAGTGGACGGCTGCATCCGAACCACCTCCGAAACGTGGAAAGACGCAACAGTCAGCAGGCAAGGTTATGGCCTCTGTTTTCTGGGACGTGCAAGGAATTATTTTCATCGACTATCTTCAAAAGGGCCAAACTATCAACAGCGACTATTATATAGTGTTACTGGAGCGTTTGAAGGCCGAAATCGCCAAGAAACGGCCACAAATGAAGAAAAAAAAAATCTTGTTTCACCAGGACAATGCGCCGTGCCACAAGTCCATGAAAACGATGTCGAAATTGCATGAATTGGGCTTCGATTTGCTCCCCCATCCACCGTATTCTCCGGACCTTGCTCCAAGCGACTATTTCCTCTTCTCAGACCTTAAGAGAATGCTCACCGGAAAAAAATTTCACAGCAACGAAGAAATCATCGCCGAAACTGAAGCCTATTTTGAGGACAAGCCGAAGGATTACTACCGGAAGGGTATCGAAAAACTTGAAGAACGTTATAATCGCTGTATAGCCCTTGAAGGCAACTATGTTGAATAATAAAAGCGAATTTTGACGAAAAAAATATTTTTTCATTGAAACGATACGGAATTTTCAGCCCACCTGTTATATATATATATATATATATATATAGGGTATTCTGTATGACATCTCAAAAAAATTAAAATAGGGAACTGATTTCACTGCTTAGCCTGTTTATGTGTACTATTACTCAAAAAGTGCACACAAAAAAGTTGATGCAACACTTTTGCTCCTATGCAATGCATGTTTTAGAAAATAGAGAAATATTTTTAAGGGTTGGCAATTATTATTACCATTATTATTACATTTTCCTATTAATCATTTAAAAGAGAATTCCATTTTTTCGACTTTACATTTTCATGTATTTGTTTTGAGCATGGCTATAGGAACTATTCAGTGAAATTGTATCAGTAGCTTTATGAATCAAACTTAAAAATGTAACACGTGGAACCTATCTTGTGGTTTCATTTAGCGATCAGGTAAAAATTGAACTTGAAAAATTTGATTTTAGCAATTGTAACTAGATGCCACAGAAGTAATTACAACTGGAAGATTCTGTGATGTAAATATCTTAGTATTTTAGCAGGACAATTCTGGATAAATAATATCCATAGCTGCCACATGAGAACAGCATCATACTATGCAGTAATGGAGATATGGAGAATGCTGTTGTAATCAATACCTTATTATTCTTATATGGCCGAATTAATGAACGACCAAAACAACATTCCAGTACAGTATGAAAAATCAACACCTAACATAATTAAAGCAGAAGTTGAACAGTTCTGATGGTCTGATTACAGCGGCATTTTTTATTATTTACTCCTTTCCCTTTTTGATGTTTGAATATATCAAATTTGCAACATACCGGACCAGCAGGAAGCTCTTTTCAGAATGTCAAACCTCTTGAATCATCAAGTTAAAGTTCTGGTTGAGACTACACCTGAGTTATAATAAAGTTCTTCAAGCTTATTTAAATGTATGTTTGGGTCATATTATGTCAGACTTAAAAATTTTGTGAGTTAGTGTTTTAGGAAATCATTGGATGTGATTTCAGTTAATTTTCTTCAAAACAAAAAAACAACATGGTATTTATGTGGTTTTGACATTTTTTTTGTATTAACAGCGAGCAAGGTTACTGGCACCGTGAAATGGTTTAATGTCAAGAGCGGATATGGATTTATCAATAGAAATGACACCAAAGAAGATGTCTTTGTTCATCAGGTGAGTACTTCATTTTTTCTTCTCAAGTACAGTATTTTCTTTTTGTTGGAAAATTTGTACATTTTTTCTTGTATGTGAAATAATCTGTTGCATTGACTCAGTCAGTAGTTCTTTGACTAACTTTATGTAGTGCCTCATATATTGTAAACCAAGACGACCAATAACATTCAGTTTACATCATAGCTATTTGAATTGGTGTATAATGTTTGTTAGTTCTCTACTGAAGAGGTTCCCAACCTTATCATATTTTATCAGCTCAGTTTTCTAATGCACCTAATGATATAAAATGTTATCACCAAATTGAATAGATATACATATTACAAGGTCAAAAAATATTCATTCAGGTTGAGTTACAACATTGATGTATCAACAATCCCAAACGAAATTTTTGTCGGAGTAAACATGCTTTAGCAGAATAATCATTGTGCAATATTGATGTAATAATTAGTATAGCATTTTTTCCAGTCTCTACCACACTACCATCACAAAGCAACATAACCAGTAGCCATATCAAAACTATTCTATTGTAATGTACGAGTTAAATAGCTTAGCAGCATGGCAAGTGTTGACATTGCTGACTTTTGCAGCTTGATCGCCAGGTCAGTTGCGGGTGACGTAGCTATGGCGTCCCAGTGAGGCACAGCAGCCCCTATTGTTAACAAGAACACAATTACTTTTGACTTGATCAAAATTTAAGAGTATACTGATGAAAACAGTTACAAGTTGGCGTGCACAATCTACTATTTTTACATGTTTTGCACGCTCCTTAGATCCATCTCTGATACTTTAGGAGATGCTTGAGTCATAAGTGTGCTATATAAGAATAACTCCACTTGACAATTGACATCCATTTTTCTAGAAAAATGTTATACATTGTTATTTGGGGAACAATATTTTTAATATGTTTCTTAACTAGTAACTACATACTATTAGTCGATGCAATGCCTGTAGCAGGCCGATATTTAGAGCATTTTGTACTTTTTATTAACAATAAGTTAATTGTTCAATTCCAGTCTGCCATCATAAAAAACAACCCAAAGAAAGCAGTCCGCTCCGTGGGTGATGGCGAGATCGTTGAGTTCAGCGTGGTGGTTGGTGAAAAAGGTAATGAAGCGGCCAACGTTACAGGACCCAACGGAGAGGCGGTAAGAAACAATAAAATCAAGTTTGTTTCAGTTGAAAGTGGTTGACTGAAAATATTGTACCATAGTTAATTCTTTATCCTCAATTGTACAATCTTTCTATAGACGGATTGGCGTTTCTTATATTCTGATTTTCATTTTTTTGTACGTCTCCTGTCATGAGCACTTCTAAGGTGAATCCACATTGTTTTGAATTTGAAAAATGGTTTTGAAGGTTCCAAAAGGTGAGTGCGGTCGATCTATCTTAAAATGACTCGCGATGTTGAAAATGTAAAAACAATAAGATTTTAGCAAAAAAATTGCAAGAGATTACAATACCTTCAGAATGAAACCTTAGATAATAATTTGCTGAAAGGCAATCATTCAAATATGCTCAAATGTGTCTGCAAATTTCTGTCCAACGACATTGGATCAATAAAACGGCCGTATATTGGGATCATTCTCTTGCTAGAGATTTAGTTTTAGCATCATAGTAAAAAAAAAATAAATTATGTAAAAATTATAGGTATTAAAAATCTGGGTTGGGCATATTCTTCCAACACAGGTAAATTTACGCACCTATAAGTGTATATTTCACAATCATATATTTCCTTTTACATTGGCACTTAAAACTTGGAGAAATATACAGACGGGGCACGCAGTCGGTCGGGACGACGGCAACTTTCGTGCGCCAGACAGACTCTTGTCAGATGGTCGATACTTACGTCAAGAAAGAAACCAGCGTTAGCGTTATTAAATGAAGGGAGACTATTTGTACGGGTCTGTTTGGCTGACTTGATCCATTCTTTTTGTGGTATACAGTGTTTGTTGTTAGCGAGGTCTAACTTGTGCTGAACGTAATCCTTTATGAACTGACGACCGCATTGCGTGAGAAGTGCATTCAACCTACTTGACTCCATTTTTGTTTGTAAAAACAAATGAACCGTTAAAACAAATTGGCTGTGTAAGGTCTTATTTTGAAGGCATTTTCATTCCTTGCAACTTTTTTGAGCCACATACCAATAATACTTACCTATTTTAACATACAATAGACAAGTTGTAGCAATTTTTTTTTTGTATATATCGTTGACGAGCCTTTTCATATACCTTCAAGAATACAATTTCCATGTTTATGTAAAACATGGACGATTTTTGGTTAATAAGTTTGGTCTATTCGGTGTATTGGGGGCTGGCTCTATAATAAATGGACGTTATTGATTTTAGGTGAGAGGATCACCGTACGCGGCCGACAAACGTCGCGGCTACAGGCCGCAGTGGTACTACGGTGGCAGAGGGCGCGGCGGCCCGCCGATGGTACGCGGCAGAGGCGGCAGAATGCAGGGCCCGCCCAGGGAGAGCCAGAGCGAAGGGGACGTAAAAGGAGGCGGCGAGGGTGGTCCGCAGGCAGGACCTCCGCGTCGTTATCGCCCGCGCAGGGGCCGCGGCGGATACGGCGGCGGATACTACAGGGGCCCATACCGTGGACCACCGGGAGGTGACCAGGAGATGATCGGAGGGATGGGACCGCGAGGCAGAGGACCACCAAGACGCTTCTTTAGAAGGTTAATGTCATTCATACTTTTGGAATTCACATAACCATTGCAAAAAGCATTGTCAGAAAGCGTTTGCAGTTTGGAATATGGACACAAATCACTGTGAGATTGTTTTGTCATAGACATGGTCAGATTCTACGGCCAATAAGTATCCTAGTTATGTATTAGAATTTTAGCAAAATATATATTGACCCTCAAAGCTGTCGCTGCACTTTAATGCAGTAGGAGTACCCTTGTATGTGAGGGAGATGGAGATATGAAAGTAATTCCTCTAGTTTTCTTGACACGGTTCTTGGCGGGCATTTTTTTCCCAGTTAAGCCACCACTTACACCTTGTCTATTAATATTATACAAAGCGTAGAAAAAGCGCAGAGCGCATAATTTGGAGTAGACGGGTGCAAATAAAAGTTTCAAGTGTAAAAGTTTTTTTTTTGGCTTTAGGACCAGGCCATGCAGCCAGAAACTAGGTTGGTATTGTACATTTCTAATTTATGGACAAACACACGACGTCACAACATCCATGGCGAAGGCGAGATTCGAACTCGCGGCCCGGCCGGCCGGCTGATCAGTAGCACGACACTCTGACCCACGCGGCCAACCGAGGTCCCCGTAAAAGCTCTTATGAAGTTGCAAGTACAGCATTCACAATGCAACCTCAACCATCACTGTTGTCAAAATTGTTGGTTTGCTCCTTGGACGACTTTGCGTGATAGGGTTTAAATTGTTAGCTAATGTGGTTGGATTTAGGAATATAAAATTGACAGACTCCAGAACTTCGTATACATATTCACAATGCTCTAGATGGCAAATTTACATTTGGCTCTTCTATGCTGTTAATTTGGATAAATGTTTGCACAGGAACTTCCGTGGAGGTCGCGGTGGCGGCGTGCGTTCCCGTTCCCAGGACAGTCAAGGAGGTGGTGCAACTAGCGGCGGCGAACAGGGGCCCGAGCAGCAGCAGCAGGGTGGCAGGGGCCAGAGGCCCAGATACAGGAGGCGTGGCGGAGCGCAGAGACAGCGCAGTGCCAACTCGCAGTCGGACGCTCAACAGACCAACGGTCAAGGTGGGGCACAGCAGCCGGCGGCCGGTGAGGGGCAACAGCAGAACAAGCAGAGCGCTGGGGACCAGCAGATTAAGGTCAGTTGGAATTAGTCGACATTATATGACAAAAATATTCGCAGGAAATCACGTGCGCAGTTGATGGCACAGTATTTTTTCCTTGCAAATCTGGGTTGAGTCTGCTATACATAGTGTCTCAGAATTTATAATAGTTATTCACACCAACTATTAACTGTGAATAAATCGATATACCACAAAGCGAAAATATCCTTGTGTGAGGCTCTCCTTACACATAATAATACTAACAAAATACAGTAGAAACAATAAGTGGTCTACAAGACTAATGACTAGAGACAATATGTACGATATAAATACAATACGGTAATTTTGTATTTTACATCAGTAATGTAGAACAGATAGATATTTATGTCATAATTATCATAAATTACATTGTTTGTGTCTGTATTCAATAGCCACTCATCTATATGTAATTTTGGAAGTATATAAATTATATCAATATTATTTCCTTTTTTGGCGTTGCAGTATAAATTTCTTTATTTTTCCTTATAAAGTTTGGCAAACGGATCTGCAACATCGGGGTATCGGTGAGGGGAAAGCAAAACATGGCTGGTTTTATTCATAAAATGCCAGCGGCGTGCGGTATTTTATAAAAGTTTGGGATTATTTCATAATTGGTTTAAATTTAGTAAACTATACGTTTATGTTTCACTTTAAATTTGGGAAGTATCTCAATAAGCCCACAATGATATGGAGCATTGTCCATAATAATAAATAAAGTCTCGGGTAAACTCAAAAATAGCTGTTCTCTACAGTCTACACTGTGTAAAAAAACACTTGAGTTTGTTTCTACACTTCAACAAACGGAAAAATGTCTACTCACTTCCCAAAACTGCCACAATTCAAAAAATCATGATAACTGCGCGATTTAAAACCTAATTTGAAAACCAAGCTAGCGTCTTTGTCAAAGCTGTAAATAAAATATATTTCTCAAATACAAATAGATACTTAACGTGGTTTTTTACCTTGAGAATATACAGGGTGACTTTGAAGTTGAGTCATTAATTTTCAGATAATGATTGTAGAAGGAAGATAAACCAAAATATGTGTGTAAAAATAAAAAAAAAATTAAAAAAATTTTACCTTGTTTTATAAAGTATCCTCCCAAGTATTTCAGTGCGGACCTGTATTTGATCGTGAGGTCCCCTGTGAGGTCTTAAGTCACCTGATTCACGAGCCCGTTGTACTACATTAACAAAGGCACGAGGGGTTGGTTGCACTCGATTGGGAAACCGATCCGCATAAACATGTGCCATTTTTTATTTCGTTTGAGCCACGCAACAGACACTATTCACACGCGACTGAAACTGACTGTATGTATAACTGAACTGAATTGTAATCGTAAAAACATCGTTCCAAATTCTTTCGCTTTTTTGTTTCCGATGCGATGAACCGTTGTTACCAAACACGAACACATGATATTATTGAGACAGGGCGGTACTCAAACTTCCAAAGGGCTATAGCTTTGTTACTTTAATTTTACCAGAAAAATGGTAAAGGAAAAAAACATTTCTTTTGATCAGATCTACACACTGTTAAAATAAATGACTCAACTTCGAAGTCACCCTGTATATATATATATATATATATACCTATATATACAGGGTGACTTTGAAGTTGAGTCATTAATTTTCAGATAATGATTGTAGAAGGAAGATAAACCAGAATATGTGTGTAAAAATAAAAAAAATTTAAAAAAAATTTTTACCTTGTTTTATAAAGTATCCTCCCGACAAGTATTTCAGTGTGGACCTGTATTTGATCGTGAGGTCCCCTGTGAGGTCTTCAAGTCACCTGATTCAAGAGCCCGTTGTACTACATTAACAAAGGCACGAGGGGTTGGTTGCACTCGATTGGGAAACCGATCCGCATAAACATGTGCCATTTTTTATTTCGTTTGAGCCACGCAACAGACACTATTCACACGCTAACCAACTGTATGTATAACTGAACTGAATAAAATACTTAATTGCAAAAACGTCGGTCCAAATTCTTTCGCTTTTTGTTTCCGATGCGATGAACCGGTAAGGCGGATTATATCCGTTGTTGCCAAACACGAGTACATGATATTATTATTGAGACAGGGCGGTACTCAAACTTCCAAAGGGCTATAACTTTGTTACTTTAATTTTACCAGAAAAATGGTAAAGGAAAAAAACATTTCTTTTGATCAGATCTACTCACTGTTAAAATAAATGACTCAACTTCGAAGTCACCCTGTATATATATATATATATATACTAAGTGACATATAAATCCGAACACCCAGTTTGAATGGTTTTATTTTAATAAAATTTTTTATAAGTACTTAATCCATTTATGCCTGAATTATAATCTTTCAAGAATTTCGATTTAAGGGCTGTTTAGTGAAGTAAAAATAGTCTCTGATGTGATATTCAGTCATTTTATTTGAGAATCTACACGAAAAAATACATTTTTTGGCTGTTAGTTTAATCGAACGTTAGGCATATATACGTAAAAATGAGTTAATTTTCAAGAAAATGTTAACCGCATACTTCTTTTTCTTAATTCTTGGTATGATAAGGAACAAAACAGTCCATATGTAATGCAACGTCGTATTTGTAGCACTTTTTTTGCACCGGCTTGTGACACACGCGACAACGAGTTGGCTTGTCCTGCCGCACTAAGTAATGTTCATTAGTGTTCATGAAACGGGATTCTGCATTTTCCAGACATGATGGTCTTCCACGTTTTCTGGACACCCTGTTAGTTTCCAATAGGATCATGGCAATCTGTCTCCGGAATGTCAGTTGATCCATTGACCCTCCTTGCAGCCTATGTAAATGCCAGGAATTTTGAATAGACAAATCCAAAAGGTAAAAGATTAGACAGGAATACCATTTTTTTCCTCGGATACTCGTACGATAATAACTAATATTCTCGTCACATATGTCTACACCTCCCATAAATGCGTTGTATGCTTTTATGCACTGAGGTTGATCAACTGTAATCTTTTTTCTTTTCTGAAGCCTTGACACATGATGAATAGGATGTACTTGTAAATTGTTCGTGGCCACATTTACGATATTATTGTCATTCCACTTGACGATTAGTACTTTATTCTCGGTTGACCCGTAGTCATATGTACCTCTCGTAGTTTTTTTCATGTCAGTTTTTGACTGGACTGTGCATTTCGACATTCTGTTCTCCCGCACTGTCCCCGTACCTCTAATGTTATGCCGCAAAAGTTCCTCCAAAAGTGGCACAGTAGTAAAGAAATTATCGAAAAAAATGTGATACGGGAGAGATAGCATTTGGCGCAATACGGTACTGTAATGCAGCACAACGGATGGCCCTAAGCCAAACAATTTGTACATCGTGGGAATTTGAGTGTTTGATCCCTGATAGGGTTCCAACCACACACAATAGCCAGCGCAGTCTGAAGATGATATTGCACGAATCCACATTTTGAATCCATAACGGATTGGCTTCCCTTTGATGAACTGCTTACAGCCGTGCCTCCCGAAGTAAGGTACCATGGACTCATCAACTGAGTGTGCAGCTCGTACGGGGCAAAAAAGTTGAAAATTTCTATTTATTGCTTCAAAAAGTGGCCGAACTTTCGCAAATCTATCTTGTTGAGATAGCTTGGAATTGTCACAACAATGCAAATTTGACATAATAAATTCGAATCTATCTCTTGACATGGCTGAAGAAACAACTTCATTATGGGTGTCTTTGCTATTCTCCCGGAACATACGACGGCGTGGAAGCTGGACATAACCACTCAAAATCAAGATGCCGAAGAACGCTTTCATTTCCGCTTCAGTGATAGTACTGTTCAAGACGTTCTTTTTTGAAGCGTACAAATTGCTATATTTTACAAACATATCGATGACGTTGTTGTCAAAAAACTGAAAAAATAGTTCTGTAGGTGAGAAGTTTGTTTTCACATCGATGTACGTTGGCCATTCAAAAGATCGAGGTTCTAAATCTCTCTTTTCCCATAAGTAATTCTTTTTTATGGCTACTTGCAAGCTACGTAGTGGTAAATCATCCTCATCTATTTCATTTCCTATTTCTTCCTCCTTATCTTCTTGAGTAATGCCGAATAATTCAGCTTCTGCCATAAGTTGTGTGCCTGGCAGGTTACCAATGGTCATCAAATCCTCGTCCCCGAATCTTCATCTGTCAAATCCTGACACGCATTTGTAGGGGGCTGTAAAATAATGTCTATCTCTTGGCTGTTAGGAAGTGTCTCATCATCGTCGTCATCCAGCGTATTCAAAATATCATCCAACGTCAAGCCACTGAAATACAAAATATACCCTTGTGTACCTGTTGTTCGTTTTATCGAACACGCAAATTTACCCCTGCCTGGACAAAACACGTGTTGCTGTACGCCTGCTGTAAAGCAGCAAAAAGCATGTATATATCTTAGAGAATTCGTATCTGTCAGCAAAAATCTGAATGATCATTAAAAGTTTGCAAAACTTACCGACAAAGTGTTAAAGATCGAGCATAATCTCTATCTATGTGCGCCATTGCGTTAAACTGTATCGTTTTTGCTACAAAATAACTACAACTAACCTAACAACACCTGTTTATATTTGAATGTGCTTTGAACTTCCAAGCGTTAAAGCGACATCTGTGATTAAGAAGCGCAAGGCTCGAATATACGCTCATTTACAGTTACCTGCTCTCTGTTCGATTTTCCGGACAATAGGCATATATGGGTTAATGAAGCATAATAAGTAAATGATAAAAATTTCAAAATGATTGCACTGCTTTAAAGCGCTTTGACCTTTAATAATGTGTGAATGCACCCTGATGTGCTACGCATTCTCCAACGCGCCTAGGCATGCTTCTGATCAGGTGGCCAATGTCCTCCTGTGGTATCTCATTCCAGGCAACCACCAGCTCCTCTCGAAATGCTTCTAGAGTCTGAGGAGGACGTCGCAAATTGAGCAATCTCGTACCCATCATATCCCACACGTGCTCAATTGGGGATACGGCGGGAGATCTTGGTGGCCATGGTAACAATGTGACATCATTGAAAGTTGGATCTGCCAGGGTGTCAAGATAGGGTAAAAGATGGGGTTCTAGAACTTCGTGGATATAACGCTGCGCGTTCATGTTACCTCTGATGAAGATTAAAGGTGACCTGGAACCATAAGCTATAGCACCCCAAACCATAACTGCAACAGTGTGATGAACATGTCTTTCAACAAAAAACTGTGGATTCCTCCTTTCACCACGTCGCCTTCTAACCCTGGCACGACCATCGTGCATGCCTAAACAAAATCGAGACTCGTCACTAAAGACAATACTGTTCCATTCCTGATCCCAGAGTGACCGTTGTCTGCACCACTCAAGGCGATTACGTCGGTGTTCTCGAGTTAAAGGGAGGACCCAGTGTGGCCGGTATGAAAACAAGCCAAAACTTCTTATTCGTCGGTAAACACTTCGCATGCCAATAGGTCTTCCGTGTTCTGCAAACCATTCATTTGCAATGGACCTGGTAGTGGAGAAACGGTCCCTTAAGGCCAATAATCTTAGGCGGCGGTCTTCACGGTCTGTTCTACGGCGGCGTCCAGTGCCCCTTGCCCAGTGTCTACACTTCTTTGCACTCTAACTGCAATTGCCCGAAAAGAAAGTCCAGCTTCACGAAGTTCCACTATACGGCCCCTGTCAAACTCACTAAGTTGACGAAATCGTACAGGTCTCCGTACTCTAGGCATCGTAACTGATCGTAAAGGATGTCAAGAACCAAAATCCGCCAACGTTGGTTCTTTACTGCGGCTGAAATATTCATTTTTAGAGCGTTAGTGAATTAACAAAAAGCAGTATAAAAACCGGAATGTCGCAACTGATAAGGCTGAAAATTTGTTCACTTGTTATTTACAGTAAGATAAATACATTCACCAACTTTTATTAAAATAAAACCATTTAAACTGGGTGTTCGGATTTATATGTCACTTAGTATATATATATATATATAACAAAAAAAAAATAGGAAAATAATGGGTAAAATCCGCAAAAAGGAGGAAAGTGGATTCGAGCAGAAAATAGGATAGGTAACCCGAGCGATACGTATTTCTGCTGGTTGGCTTCATCAGGCCCGAAATGAATGCACATATGCAACTACAAAAGAAGATACACATGCTCATACATCCGGATACGGGTGTAACCTGAGGAAACAAAGATGAAGAGGGGAAAAAAATCACACACGAAGTCCACAACAAGAGCCAACCTACACATTGTAGTATAAAATAGCTAGAAGACCTCGAATTTTCAAGGCGACATCTAACCGCAACCACGCGGCCGGTTATAGCCACTTGCTGTGGTCCTTCAAGCCCAAAGGATCTACAAAGAGAAAATAATCATGCGGAGAAATGTATATAACAAAAAAATAGGAAAATAATGGGTAAAATCCGCAAAAAGGAGGAAAGTGGATTCGAGCAGAAAATAGGATAGGTAACGCAAAGAGCAAGGGGCACTGGACGCCGCCGTAGAACAACAGACCGTGAAGATCGCCGCCTAAGATTATTGGCCTTAAGGGACCGTTTCTCCACTACCAGGTCCATTGCAAATGAATGGTTTGCAGAACACGGAATACCTATTGGCATGCGAAGTGTTTACCGACGAATAAGAAGTTTTGGCTTGTTTTCATACCGGCCACACTAGGTCCTCCCTTTAACTCGAGAACACCGACGTAATCGCCTTGAGTGGTGCAGACAACGGTCACTCTGGGATCAGGAATGGAACAGTATTGTCTTTAGTGACGAGTCTCGATTTTGTTTAGGCATGCACGATGGTCGTGCCAGGGTTAGAAGGCGACGAGGTGAAAGGAGGAATCCACAGTTTTTTGTTGAAAGACATGTTCATCACACTGTTGAGTTATGGTTTGGGGTGCTATAGCTTATGGTTCCAGGTCACCTTTAATCTTCATCAGAGGTAACATGAACGCGCAGCGTTATATCCACGAAGTTCTAGAACCCCATCTTTTACCCTATCTTGACACCCTGGCAGATCCAACTTTCCAACAAGATAATGCCCGACCACATGTTGCAAGAGTCACAATAGACTTCTTTCAACATAATGATGTCACATTGTTACCATGGCCACCAAGATCTCCCGACTTATCCCCAATTGAGCACGTGTGGGATATGATGGGTAGGAGATTGCTCAATTTGCTTCAAACGTCCTCCTCAGACTCTAGAAGCACTTCGAGAGGAGTTGGTGGTTGCCTGGAATGAGATACCACAGGAGGACATTGACCACCTGATCAGAAGCATGCCTAGGCGCGTTGGAGAATGCGTAGCACATCAGGGTGCATCCACACATTATTAAAGGTCAAAGGGCTTTAAAGTAGTGCAATCATTTTGAAATTTTTATCATTTACTTATTATGCTTCATCAAGTACTTATACAAAATTTTATTAAAATAAAACCATTTAAACTGGCTGTTCGGATTTATATGTGACTTAGTATATATATATATATATATATATATATATATATATATATATATTCTCAAGGTAAAAAACCACGTTAAGTATCTATTTGTATTTGAAAAATATATTTTATTTACAGCTTTGACAAAAACGCTAGCTTGGTTTTCAAATTAGGTTTTAAATCGCGCAGTTATCACGATTTTTTTAATTGTGGCTATTTTGGGAAGTGAGTAGACATTTTTCCGTTTGTTGAAGTGTAGAAACAAACTCAATTGTTTTTTTACATGGTGTAGACTGTAGAGAACAGCTATTTTTGAGTTTACCCGAGACTTTATTTATTATTATGGACAATGCTCCATATCATTGTGGGCTTATTGAGATACTTCCCAAATTAAAAGTGAAACATAAACGTATAGTTTACTAAATTTAAACCAATTATGAAATAATCCCAAACTTTTATAAAATACCGCACGCCGCTGGCATTTTATGAATGAAACCAGCCATGTTTTGCTTTCCCCTCACCGATACCCCGATGTTGCAGATCCGTTTGCCAAACTTTATAAGGAAAAATAAAGAAATTTATACTGCAGCGCCAAAAAAGGAAATAATATTGATATAATTTATATACTTCCAAAATTACATATAGATCCGCCAACGTTGGTTCTTTACTGCGGCTGAAATATTCATTTTTAGAGCGTTAGTGAATTAAAAAAAAAGCAGTATAAAAACCGGAATGTCCAACTGATAAGGCTGAAATTTTTTTTACAGTTAGATAAATACATTCACCAACTTTTATTAAAATAAAACCATTTAAACTGGGTGTTCGGATTTATATGTCACTTAGTATATATATATATATATATATATATATATATATATATATATATATATATATATATATATATATATACGTAGTCATGCCATAAGTTCTGTCCCTCGTTTTCAAACAAGTGTAGACCTGTTAATACTTGTCCGATTGTTTACATTGTGGTGTCAGTTGATTAAGCGCCTTTCGGGTAATTACATATACCTCAGTTTGTATTGATCTCTCGAAGCATAACGATGGAGTGGGGCAAGGCAGAGAACCGTATTGCAGTGATAGCTTTACATAAGTGTAATCACAGTGCTAGTCAGATTTTTGAACTCTTACGCGGCCTTCAAATATCGCGTAAATTTGTGTCTAGGACCATTCAGCGGTACAATGAGACGTCCTCTGTTGATGACAGGCCAAGAAGCGGAAGACCTCGTCAAGTAAGGACTCCAGCAGCCATCAAAGCCGTAAAAGCCAGGATTCAAAGGAATCCACTCCGGAAGCAGAAGATCCTATCCAGGGAAATGAAGATTCCTGTCCGGACGATGTCGCGCATCATTAAACAAGACCTAGGGCTAGGGGCTTACCGGAGACGTACGGGCCAGCGACTTACGGCCACCTTGCGACACATCAGGGCGACAAGATCCAAGAAGCTCTTGGAGAGGTACGCAGCTGGGGGATTCCGAAAGATTTTGTTCACGGATGAGAAAATCTTCACCATAGAAGAAAAATTCAACCGACAAAATGACAAAGTGTATGCAAGGGGTTCACAGGAAGCTTCGGAGATCATTCCGAGAGTTGAGAGAGGCCACCACCCTGCGTCAGTCATGGTTTGGTGGGGGGTGTCCTACGAAGGGGTCACTCAGCTCCATTTCTGTAAACAGGGCGTGAAAACAAAAGCGGCAAACTATCAGAGCGACATACTGGATCCTATCGTCAAGCCTTTAAGTGGTACATTGTTTGCCAACCAACACTGGGTCTACCAGCAGGATTCCGCCCCCGCTCACAAGGCTAAGAGTACGCAGCGCTGGCTGGAAAGCAATGTGCCAGAGTTCATTGCTGCGGAAGATTGGCCCTCAGGGAGTCCGGACCTCAATCCTTTAGACTACAAGTTGTGGGACCTGCTAGAGCAGTTGGCCTGCTCCAAAGCCCACCGTAATATCGAGTCCCTGAAAGCGGATTTGATCCGATCAGCGGCAGCTATTCCTTTGGAAGCTGTGCGTGCAGTGATAGATGAGTGGCCCGCGAGATTGAAGCAGTGTGTGAAGGCCAAGGGGGGACATTTTGAATAAAACTGTTTGATTATGAATTCTAAAAATATTGTCGAATAAATAATATCTTTCATATAAATATATCTTATCTTGTTTCATTTTTATCATGAGATTATCATGGGACAGAACTTATGGCATGACTACGTATATATATATATATATATATATATATATATATATATATATATATTATACATCCGTGATCTTATAATATGCTCATTTACTTTAAAAAGTGCCACAAGCCGAAAAATGACCAGAATTAATTTTTATTTTATAATCCGCATCTTTCTGGATTCCTATTGTTGCAATTTTGGACTGTTGATGTGGATATTTCTAGATCATCTGTGTCGCTTAAATAGAAACAAAGAACTTTAAACATATTTCATATCCGTTTAACTTATAACCTCTGTAATAAATAATACTTCCATTATACAGCATTTTAAAATTACATTTCACCTATTGAATTAGCATTGGTGTTCGTCAACTTCATCATTATCATCATCGTCACTGTTGTCATCAGTTTCGCTGTCGTCATCTTGCCCTATAGTTATTATAACTGGTTCCATTTCCTCCATAAATTGATCATTTTCCCAAAATTTATCTTCAATGTCCCTAACATGTTGACACAATTTCTGCCAATCATTAATGGATATTAAGGACATCGCTTCCTGAGTAACTTCTTTCAGTGCGGTTAAACTAAAGTTTCCAGTGGTATTGCGGCTTCTTATATGAAATTTAAGCTTTGCCCAAGCTAATTCTATTGGGTTTAGATCGCATAAATAAGGAGGTGTTCTTAGAGGAGTATGTCCATGTGATCTTATGATCACCGATCAACTACATAATTTTTTTGGTTGTCAGGGGGCTTATGAAGTAAGACCAGATCGAACAAGTCAAATTTTCTGGCAGTTGCCTCATGATTTATGCCTATAAAATATTTTATTATATAGTTTGATATGTACATGCAT